TCACTGTGTGGAGCATTTGTGGCTTTTTCAAAGCCCCAAGGAATCTGAGAAGCAAGTGAGGGAATGATGCATGAAAACAAAAGGCAGTGGAAAGAGTGACCAGCCAGCAGGCTCCAGCAGGCTAGAACGCTCTGTCCTTGTTATTACTGCTTCATGAAAATGCCGCCGGCTTCCTGGCAAGGTCTGGAAGGTAGAGGCTCCTTAAGAAAACAAGGACAAGTGATCTGTACTTTGAGGCTGGAATCTGGTTTCTCAGCTTCTCCATTTTCCAGTGGAAGCTGCCGGGTGAGGTTGGGGAACCCTCTGCCCCTTGGTGGGTTTAGGTCAGTCTTTCCCTCTCCCCTGGCTGCTTTCCCAAGAGTTTTCTCCTCCCACTCAAAAGCAGCACAGCTCTGGTCTCAGAGGCCTAGAAAGGCTGAAGGGGGAGAGAAGTTGGGCGGTGCCCCTGACAGAGCCGTTCCCCAAGGAGTGATCTGAAGGTCAGCCTCTGGGAGGCAAAAGGGCTTCAGCCATTATTCCCATTCAAAGGGGCTTTGTCACAAAGACACGTCTCCTGGTTTGGGACGAGACCAAAGGGTGCTCTCATTCCTGGCCCTCTTTCCTCTGAGCTATTCATACCCTGCCACCACACACTCTCACAGGACAGCCCACCTCAGTTTTCAGGATTGAGGGAGAAGCTCAGGAAAGGTAAGAGTGTTTAGTAACTCTATTGCATGGCTATTTAAACTTGTCATTATTGGGCTTGTAAGAGGTCAACCGCTACTTTTCCTCCTGATAATCTTTTTCCTTTGTTGCAAATCTAGATGCAAAGTAGGGAAGCAGTCAGCATTCTCTTCCTTTCTCACTATCCACTAGCTTTGAGGATAATGAATAAAAATAGGGCTGGATACAATAGGGCTGAGTTGAGGGTGTGGTTTGCTTGGCAACGGCTCAGGCGAAGTTATTTCTCTTGGTTTCCAGTGCTCTTGACTTCGTCTGTGCCTGATGAAGTCCTAAAAAACCAGCTTGAGTGTGACTTTCTTTTTGGTAAAACTCCCATCCATAGAGTTAATCATTCCCTTCTTTTTGCTCCCATAGAATTTTGTTCTTATAAAAAGCATTCATCATATTGTGTGATAATTACTTGGGTTCATGCCTTATTTTTGTGTGTGTGTTTTTCCAGCCTTTATTGACTGTACTTTAACATAGTAGTCCTTTTATAAATATTTATTGGATGAATCAAAGTTCCTGGGTGAACAACAATATTCAGCTCTTGTATTTTCTTAATGATCCCCTGCCTTCTCCTTGGGGTGACTACAAGCAGTTTCAGCTCCACATGAAATGGAGGACGCACTGCCATGAACTGTAATTTTTTTCCTGAGGAACTGCTCCAGCAGGAGTGGGTATTACAGATATATCATTTTGTTACAGGTACAGAAATTGTTTCCAGGAAACACTGCCATTATTACCTCTGAAAGGCAAGTCAGTAGAAATTGTTATTTTCCATTTACGGATGGACAAATGGAAGCTTTCTTTCTCATTTACCAATTACAGAATATCCACTCTGTTCAAAATACTGTGCTAGGATTTTCATGGTCTACAAAGATATATAAATATAAGACAAGGTTCTTGTTCTCAAGAAGAGTGTTATAATCTGGTTAGGATGAAAAGATATTTGTATGCAAAAGTAACTGTAACCTGGGAGCCTTTTAGTTGAATCATACGAGTTGTCCAAAAACAAGTACCAGAGGGAATAGAGAAGGTAGGCAAAAGAATGTCCAGCCAAAGTGATCAGGGACATTGTTGTGGTCAACATGGCATTCGAGCTGAATAGATTCTGTGCTGGTAATTCTCCATTTGGCTGGTCCCTGTGTTAGTTTCCTGTGACTGCTGTAACAAATTACCAAAGACTGGGTGGCTTAAAACAACAGAATTTTATTTTCTCACTGTTCTGGAGGCCAGAAGTCCAAGATCAAGGTTTTGGCAGGGCCATGCTCCCTTCAAAGGTTCTAGGGGAAAGGCTGTTCCTCACCTCTTCCAGCTTCTGATGGCTCCAGGCTTTCCTTGGCTTGTGGCCACTTCACTCTGGTTTCTGATTTTGTGGTCATAATGCCTCCTCCTTTCCTTTTTCAAAACGTCCCCTGCTTCTCTTTCATTAGGATACATATGGTTGTATTTTGGGTCCACCAAAATAAACTAGGATAAGCTTTTCTACTCAGGATCCTGAACTTAAGCACATCTCTACTATATAAGGTATTAGGGCACAGCCACATTTTTTTGAAGAGGCTACTAGTCAGCCCATGACAGCCCCCCTTATCCTTCTCTGCCCTGCTCCGTGCCTCATGAGGTTGTTACCCACAAATGATATCACCTGGGCTATACTGTCTTCTATCTTACTGTAGGGTTTGGCCAGTGGGAAGCATCAGCAAGCATCAGAGCTTATGAGGAAAAAAATTGATATACTTCTTTCCTCCCAGCACCCAATTCTGGCAGCAGATATGCACCTTCATGGCTCTAGCCTTTTCTAGTCTCATATCACACCATTTCCTTCCCTTGTCTCTTCAGCTCTGGGCTAGTCCCAGAACATTCAGTGCCTCAGTACTCCTCCTACCTTCCCACAACCCTGCTTACATCCTTGTAAATAGTGTCTTCACGTATTTTCAAAACTCCAGCTGAGTTGCCTTTAGTTTTCTACCATGATCTTGACATAGATACTGAGAGACAAAAATTTAATTTCCAGAACAGAGATAGACTCAGGGTGCCTCAATATAAGTTTATGTAATGACCAGTGGGAACTGGAAGATGATTCAGCATACAACACAACCGTAGCAGCTGCGTTACCTTGTGGGTTCTTCAGCAGTAAATATCCGTTGTTTTGTACTCTATCTGCTATTATTGTGCATCTGCTGCCCTTGCTACTAAATACTTTCTAGTCCTTTCTGTATCTCACAGATTCTATTGCTTCATCATTGCTGTTGCTACATGATTGCATAGTTCCTTTTCTCCATGTATCTTTTAGCTTCTCCCTAATCACTAACCTCTCTGTACTTCATTTTCACACCCTTAAGGACCCAACTAGTTTGGCTGTTCACCATCAAGTACAGGCTGCTATTAGGCAGAGCTTCTTTGATAAGCCATCACATGAGCATAGATAGGTTTATTGCCCGAGGTTAGGCACCAGCTCCTGGACTAAATGGTTTTATTTAGAATGGCAGAATAAATTGATACATAATTTGGTATCCTGTTTATTAAAAATCACCAGGAGGTGGTTACAGATATGGGAGGCATTCTGCTACTTCCCAAAAAGGGTGGCATACCAAAACCCACAAATATGTCTGTTGTCCAGTTCATAGCAGAGGCGTGGTGGTCTTAGAAAAGTGCAACATACTTTTGGGAAAAGCAAGGAGCCCAGAATAGCTGGTGGAGTAATTCACAGAGAGAAACACTATAGTTGGTAGGAAAGCTGGAAATGTAGGTCACAATGTTTGTAGAGGGCCTTCAGTTAAGATTAGTTTTAGAAGGAACTTTAGACATTATTCTATGGACAGTGAGAAGTTACTGCAGGTTTTAGAACACAGAGGAGCAAGATAACATCAGCTTTAGAACTATTTATCGTATGGTAATAGCATTCAAATTAGATCATAAGTAGGAGAATGTGGGAACAGAAAGACAAATCAGGAAGACGTTCAATAGTCCAAGTGAGAATACAGGGGACTCAAACCAGGGCAAGACTGGGAAGGAAAGGAAGAGCTAGCTGTAAGATACTCCAGGCATGAGTACACTTAGGATTGATGCCAGTTTTTAGCTACTGGTTCAGAATCTTTTTACCACCTTGGATCCTTTCAATTATTTTAATTTTCTTTTAAATTAACTGCACCTTTTAGGAGAAATACATGAATTCTATTAGGTATACTGATAAAAATGACAATATTATCAGCTATTGCTATATCTTGGAAGTTTGGCTTTGAAGCAAAAAAATTTAGGAAGTGGTGGTACCATTGAGAGGAATTAAGTCTGGATGTCTTAGCCTATGTTTTTTAGAAAAATAGAACTCAAACCAAGAGTTAATGCTAATGGTTTATTTAGGAGATGCAATCCCAGGGCAGTCAGAATGAGACAAAAAGGGAGAGACAGAAAAAGAGGAGAAGTAATGCAAGATGATGCTTGGACAATCTGCAGAAATAGTAGGTATGCCTATATGTCCATGCAGAATTTCTCCCGGCATGCTATATGGCAAAAACATGCTCAGGTAAGTTCTTGGGAGGGAGAAAAGAAAAGGAATTCACCTTTGTGGTTCCCTGACATCTCCTATTTCCCAATGATCAAAATATACCACACCGGGAGTTACTTTCCTCATACTTCTGGGTTACGTCATATTTTCCCCATTGTTAGTCTCTCAGCAAGCCACAGCCAAGGCTCTATGGTGTGGCCTTTCATCATGGTTGGGAGTAGAGACAAGATTCATGGCATGTAGCTGGTGAGCCTGGTTGTTCAGTGGCAGAGGGGAGGGCCAGGCAGGGTAAGTGGCAGATAAAGTAACAGGACTACGTGGGCCCAAACAAAGCAAGTCAGCTGCAGTGGTGGCTGAGACAGAATAAGGAACTGAGGATTTGAGAAATGATGACAAGAAATCTGATGAGGCACATAAGATCTGATAAATTGAAAGGCACAAAAAATGTAAGGCTAAAACTTGCACTTATGTCCTGGCACCACCAAAGTGTTTTTGAAGGTTACAGCAGGAATAACCATAGAGAATTACATTCCCAGACCACGTATAAAAATAAGTAGGACCATGTACTGTAGAGACAGGTAGAGCTGTGCTTGAGCCACAGCTGTATATGATCCTGGGCAATTTAACACTTAATCTCTTTAAACCTTAGTGTACTACATAGCTCATGCTTGTAAAGCATTTGGCATGATGCTATACATACAGTAAATGCTAAATAAATTGTGGCCATTAATATGATCATTAATGTCATTCTTGGATAACTATGATCTTCTCAATGCTTTCTCTTCTCCAGACTGACTCTGCCTGTGCTGCTCCTAAGTGCTCCTTGGGCAGAATGGATGGCTTGAGCCAGAGTCCTTTAGGTACTCTCAAAGGCAGTTGCGTCTGGATCACTCTGCACTTGAGGTCATGGAGCCCAGTGAAGGTGGGTGGCCCACTATACGGTGCTGACATGTTAGGCCCCCAGAAAGCAGCACCACTGACCCATCACCATTGGTATATAGTGAAGACATAAGTAGTCCACTTGCCCCTATACACTTTTTCCCCTTCAAAGAAGGAAAACAAGATTTTTGTCAAACTTTTCCCCCACAAAAGCACAGCCAAGTACATAAGTATTACCAGATCCACTTAATAAACAGGTTTTTGTAAGACTTTAAAAACAGAAGCGATTACCCTTATACGAGTGGTATTTGGTGGGATATCATCTCTAAATTATACATAGCAAATTTTCTTTGTTCCCATACATTGATATCCTTTTGAATTTATGTAGTATATTAAATGACAAGAGTAATCCATACCTAAGTATATAAATGCTTTGGAAATTTCTGGAACAACAAAACCAACCCACATCACTCAGAATAAAAACCCAGATCCTCAGAATTAAAAACTCAATGGCCTTTAATGACCTATGGGATCTAGACCCCAGTTATCAGACCTCATCTCTGACTACGAGGAGGCAGTACAGCAACTTCGATGCTTCAAAGCACCACAAGCCTCTAGAGACAGACTATCTGAGCTCCAGTCACAGCTCTGTAACTTGATAGTTACGTGATTTAAAGGAAGTTATGTAACCTCCCTGTGCCTCAGTTTCCTCATCTAGACAAGAGAAAAACAGCATCCACTTCACCTAGTTATTAGGAGGATTAGTTAACATTGTTAAGTGCTTGGGTCAGTGCTACTAGTGAGGGCTATTTTTTGTTTTCAAATACAAGCACAAGTTTATTTAGAAAGTCACAGAGGTAGAGCTGCGGGGAAGGGGGCAGGGGAGAGACAGAAAGCCCACGTGTGTGCGTGCACCTGCTAGTGAGAGCTATTTAAGTGTTTGGTAGATAAATAAAGTACTTCCCTTCATTTATTGCACTCCAGCCATACTAGTCTCTTTGCTGTGCCACCAGCCGGCCAAGCGCCCTCCTGCCCAAGGGCTTTTTATATGTTGTTCTCCCAGAGGGCCACATGACCAACTTCCTCATCTCTTTCAAGTCTTTGCTCAAATATCACCTTTTAAATGATGGCAACCCTATTTAAAACTGCAGTACCCTCCTCTACACCCCTGCTTCATTTATTTTTCTCATTAGTGCTTACCTACTTTTAAGACCCTATATAATTCACAAATTTATTCATTTTTCACCTGTCTCCCCCAACCAGAAGGGACACAAGGGCAGAAATATTTGTTTTATTCTCTAATGTATCCCAAGTGCCTAGAACATTGCATGGGACATAGTAGGTACTCAATGCTATTTGTGGAAGGGATGATTGCATGGTTTCCAACAAACTTGACCTATTTTGAAGATAGATATGTAAATGAATTTCCTAATGTGTGTGTAAATTGTCAAAGATCTCCCCAATAGTTCTTCTCTTAAGTTGAATAGATATGATCGCCCTCCCAGAGGGCGATCAATATTATTTTAGGAAATTGATTATCAAAGTCATTTTTTCAAAAGATATTTAAAGATAAACTTTAGCTGAAACTTAGGTCAAGCTGTCTTTAATTCCTAATGAGCATATTCTGAATTAATGAGATTGATCAACTCCAGACTAATTGCTAGTGGATTCTGTGGCCCTGTCATTTATCCAACATGACCTAGAAGTCATGGCCTGGCATCAGGCTATGGAAGGAAGAGAACTAATGAACACCTACTCTGTTTAGGTTAGGGGAGCTGCTGGGCTCAAACCTGTGAGGCATATACGATAAACCAAGGCCCAAATCACATACCTAAGACGTGATAGAGCTAGTATTCACACTTTCAGTTTGCAAAATCCATGTTCTTTCCAGTGTCTCACTTTAAGCATTAGATTTCTCATCTGTAATATGTCGTAACATTACTTGGGCAGTTACTATGATAATTAAAATAACATGTAAAGCAGAGAATACTCAATTAATGGCAGGTTTTTATTTTTTATGGCCATACTTTAGGAATGACAGATTATTTTTTTCCCCATGGGAAACAATCACACTGCCTCCCCAGGGAGGAAATTATGAGCCCTTACTTATCTGGACAGCAGAACCAAGTCCAATGGGATAAATCAGCAGTGGTTACATTTTAAAAAGAAGAATTTTAAATTTAATAAAAGTTTAAATACTTACACTTTTATTTCTGAAGAGTTGACTTTATGGGCCCTTAACTAGCCACACTTGAGACAATTTGATCACCAAAATTTTGTTTGTATGGTTATACAAAAATGATGGTTGATATAATATTGGATAAAACATCATATGGTTGTATAAAAATGATAAAAAGAAAAAGCCAAACATTCAAAGTTATTTAAAAAGTGGGGCCAGTGGGGTGAATGAGGGAGGAAAGACAGATGAGGGAGGAATAGGAAAACAAAGCCTTCTTTATAGAAGAATGCCAGCTAATAAATGTTGAAGAAATGGTGAGGCCTAAGAAAACCACTGTTATACAATTCTCAGTGTTAATAACTGAGTTGATCAAGGACAATCAATGGATGATAAAACCCTTGCGTAAAGGGTTGATGGGTGTTATGGGTTAAATTATGTTTCCATAAAAAGGTAAGTTGAAATCCTAACCCCCAAGACCCCAGAATGTGATCTTATTTGGAAAAAGGGTTGTTCAAGATATAATTAGTAAAGTTGAGGCATAATCCAGTAGGACGGGACCCTAGTCCTACATGACTTGTGTTCTTATGAGAAAATGGTCATGTGAAGAGAGGCACACAGGGAGAATGTATGTGAAGGTGGAGGCTGAGTAGAAGTACTGCAGTGGCAAGCCAGGAATGTCTGGGGCAGGAAGCTGGAAGAGCCATGGAAGAATTCTCCCTAAGGTTTCAGATGGAGCCCTGCTGACCCATTGTTCACATACTTCTAGCCTTTAGAACTGTGGGACAATAATTTATGCTGATTTAAGCCACCCAATTTGTGGGTACCTTGTTATAGCAACCCTAGGAAAGTAACACAGCGGTGAACAAGAAAGAACCATGTACTGAAGTATCTACTCACAGATATGAAAGAAAGAGCTTTCCAAAGGAGAGCTTTGTCAGTTACCATTTAATCAAATATCAAACTTAACATCATTAATAGTAGGAAAACCTAACATTATATACCTCCAGATCTGATGTGATGAGTACAATATCACTTTGATAGACCGATTGCAACAGGTTCAGATTCTTTCTCTCCCTCGTCCACACACTTTGCAATGACTTTGCAACAACTCCCTTCAAGAAGTACAGTTTATTTCTCCACCACTTGAATCTAGAATGGCTTTATTACCTTGTTTGGCCAACAGAATGCAGTGGAAGTGCCAGAGTTCCATTTCTAAGGCTAGACTTCCACAGACCTTTCTCACTTCCACTCTCTTTTCAGACCTTGGTCTTGTCCATGAGAACAGGCCAGGGCTAGCCCGCTAAGCGTGATAGGTGAACCGAGCTGGGCCAAGTCATCCCAGCTGAGGTCATTCCAGACCGGCCAGCGTCTAGTCAATCTGCCAAATGACTGCAGATTCATGAATGAGTCTGGCCAAAATCAGTTGAGCCCAGCCCAGATCAACAGAATGACTTAGCCAAAGGCTGTTAATATTATGCCACTGAGTTTTGGGGTGGGTTGTTATGCAGTAATAACTAACTGTTACAATGACCTATATAATATCCTTGCCAAATATGTATAAATGGAAACTAATCAGGAGGAAACAATCAGAAAAACCTAGAATGTGGGACATACTACATTATAACTGGCCTGAACACTACAAGTCAATGTCATTTCAGATAGACAAGGTTTTCAGATAGATATTTCAGATAGACAAGGTTTTTCAATCTCAGCAATAATTGAGATTTTGGACCAGGTAATTCATTGTTGAGGGTTGTCCTGTGTATTGTAGGATATTTAGCAGACATCCTTGGTTTCTGTCCACTAGGTGATAGTAGCAGCCCCAGCTATGACAATCAAAGTATCTCTAGCCATTGCTAAATATCCATCTTGGGGCACTGGACTAGAGAGACAGAATCAGATGTAATGTATGGGCTTTGTTAAGATCTTGGTTCAAATTTTTTAAAAAGGTGGTTATAAAAGACATTTGGAACAATTAGTAAAATTTGAATGTATAATTAAATATATTGAAGTGTTAATGTTCCTAAGTCTGAAAAATGTTATTGCCATTAGGTAGGTGAATGCCTTTAATCTTAGGAGGTGCATACGAATTATTTTGAGTGAAATGTCATAAGATATTCAGCCTACCTCCAAATACTTCAATGGATGCAAGCATACATTTATAGAAAGAGATAAAGCAAAAGTGACAAAATATTAACAGTTGGTAAATCTAAGTGAAGCATATTCATTGTATCATTCTTTCAAACTTTTTAGTTTGAAAATTTTCAAACTAAAAAGTTGGGGGTAACTTTTTATAAAGAGTTAATCTCATCTCCAGTGCCTGACTCCTTATTAATTTAATGTAATGCCGAGAACAGGCTTGTTCTAAGTGAACCTGGTGCTCATTCTGTGTTGCCTGGACAATGAGCTAGCTCAAACCAGGTATGGGGCGTTGGGGCTGAGGAAAAGGGCTGCTCCCAGCCTGAGGAACTGTACACAAGCTCAGCTTCCCATGGGACCCACGGGCTTCCTTTCTCTTGTGTAACATCCCACAAGACCAAAAATCTAGGTGCCAGGCAGCTTGTGTGTGTTTCCCAGGCAACTCTGGCAAACAGCTGGCACCAAAACCCAGGCTTCCTGGTGCCAAGTCCGTCTGATTTTTCCATTTGCTGATAAGGCTACTCTCACATTTGTTCCATACAAGTAGACCAAAAGAGGAGCAAAGTTCCCTTTCCTGGAACACTAACCATTCTGTGAGGCCAGCAGGTCAGCCAGGAACAATAAGAGGATGGGGTCTCCATGCCCTCCCTTCTCTCAGTGACCTTGACATTGTAAGTTTCCTCTTTCCACAGTAAAGCCTAATTTTTTAACCTGTATCATATGAT